TCCGGCAAGGACAGGATTAGGCAGATGAAAAAAGTTGGCGGATGGAGAAAATCAGTGTAAATCGACCAGGGACTCGGCGCGACTAAGCAGTCGTGTAGACGGATGTCCAAAACGACTATTGTCCGTCTCTTCTGAAAAAAAAACTATGCGCCATTTTCATCGGTTTAAAGGTTCTTTCAAGGCTATTTATGGAAATACTTCACGTCGGTTTTGGGTGCAATATTTTGCGGCTCACGTTAATAAATTAAAACGTTGATTCGTTTAGTGGAAGGTAACGCTGGCTAACGAGGCAGAAATTGCCATCCCTGTCTCCCCTTGCTTTGTTGAAAATCACCCCTCCATGCATGACTGGTCGAGGGAACTCCAAGGCACAACGCAACGAGCCTGTCTCATCACCTGATTGTTGAACGCCCAGTATTAGGAAAGAAATATTTTTTTTCCCCAAAGCGAGAATCCTGTACAATCGTAGGATAGTCATTTTGAATGACTACACTTGCATCTTAAAAATATTGTTCATGAAAAACTAACTCTTGAGTGTCATCTACAGGCCATGTCGGGTCGTACAGCAATCCAGATCACAAGAAAATCCTGTAGGCGACTGTTGTTGTTGTTTGAGCACTTTTTCAGTTTCCACTCTTACAAAGGCGATTTTACGCGTGTTTTCGAGAGACTTTAGGTTCGCCCGATCTAGTGAGTTTAATAGCGTTCGCTCAGAGCTGCCTTCTTCTGCGTAGACCGTCGGTTTCCTGAGAATGGCCGGCTCAAATCAACCCTGCAGTCAACCCTTCCTGACCTATATTGTTATGTCATATCTTTTTTTAACAGTACAGTGTTGTACAAACGGTGTGGTTTCTTAAGTTTGGTGCTGATGAGAACTTTCTTGTAATAGAAAAGTGTATTCAAGCCAGACGCCAAAACCGATTCGTCACTACTGTCTTGGGTTGTATTTCACAAAATGGTTGGCTATTTAGACTTCATGTGTGTGTAATAATGCTTTGGTGGCGAAGAACGCCTTTTCCACCATCCAACTAACGAGAATTAAGTCAAAAGACTATTAGTCATTCCCCCCTTTCTACTGAAACAGTCTATTTTTCATATAATCTCACCATCAAGCGACAAAAAGTTTTGTTAAAAGGGCCCCTATTAGTTACCGAAAATACACCGTAGTTCCGGCTGCAGCCTATGCATCGACGGCCTATCCGAATTAGCTGGTCACGTGATTGGGTGAAGTGGCTGCATTAGCAAATACACGCGCCAAATACAATACATGCGCCAAATACACGTTACTTCTTGACGCCGCAAGATGAAGTACTTACGTGAGTCGGGGATGCAAGTACTCGCATGAGTGGTTTCCTTCCTTTATCTCTATATCTGGAACAAGTTCCCTGCCGGAAAGCCAATGCGGCTTCCGCCGTCATCTTGGGACCACCTACATGATCTTCGCCGCCCGTCAACTGCAAGAGAAGTGTCAGGAGATGCGGACCCACCGTAACTTTACCTTCTTGGATCTGACGAAAGCCTTCGACACGGTGAATCGCGAAGGGCTGCGGAAAGTCATATAGAAATCCGGCTGTCTTGAACAGTTCACCCAGATGGTGCGTCAGCTCCACGATGGTATGATGGCGCGAATCACAGACAATGGAGCTGTCTCAGAGGCATTCGCAATGACCAACGGAGTGAAGCAGGGCTGCAACCTCGCGCCTACCCTCTTTAGTCTCATATTATCAGCCATGCTGCTGGACGCCTACCGTGACGTGCGCCCTGGGATCCGCATCGCCTACAGGACGGACGGCCAACTCCTCAACCTCCGACGGATGCATGTCCAGTCGCGTGTACCCACAACTACCGTCCATGGACTTCTCTTCGCCGCTGACTGCGTTCTCAGAGCCACCTCAGAAGTGGACAAGCAAGAGAGCATGGACCCCTTCGCCGCCGCCTGCGAAACTTTGGCCTGGTCATTAACACAGAGAAAACGGTTGTTATGCATCAACCGACAGTCGATGCTGCCTATGTCGCACCTCAAATAAACATAAACGACGTCCAGCTGCAAGTGGTGGACAACTTCACGCATCTGGGCAGAACTCTCTCCCGCACCACCAAAATCGAAGATGGAGTGGCCCACCGGATCTCCGAATTCAGCCGATCCTTCAGCCATCTGCAAAGCCCAGTCTGGAATCGCCACGGTCTCAACCTCAACACCAAACTGAAGATGCGCAAGTCGGTCATCCTGCCGACGCTGCTGTATGGAGCGGAGACCTGGACAGTGTACAAGAGGCAGGCGCGGAGACTCGATAATTTCCACGTCAGTGTCTTCGACGGATGCTGAAGCTGAGATGGCAGGACCGGATACCGGACACGGATATACTGGAGCGGACGGGGGCGAGACAATTCTGAGTAGCCTGGGATTATGAGTCAACATTGTTGACGTACTTGCTTCTTGTCAGTAGGCGTGCTTTTATTAAGTTACATATTTCAGGCGTGTCGGCCGCGCGGGTGTAATGTATTCGACCTCGCTTTGGGATACCTTGTCTTCTGCTGTGGTGCCATTGCCATACCTCCCACATATACTTACAGCTGCCAATTGGACGAAGGAAGGGCGGTTATGCTGTAAATTCCTTCATGTTATTGCTCACGTTCACATTCCCGCTCATCGGCCACTTAGCGCGCTTGCTACATTACTACGACTGGGTACTCCAG